CCCCAAAACCCCAAAACCCCAAAACCCCAAAACCCCATTTGTTCATTGAGTAGTAGAAACTTCTATTTTTGATTATCTGATGTCGTCAGTACAGGTTTCCCCTATAGAGGTGAGGTTACATGGAGGAATTGGGATTTCCGACAAAAGAGAAACAGGAAGGAAAAATTTATTTTTGAGGTAGGAGATGTAATCATAGATCTTACATGAAATTTCTTCGATCTCGGGGATGTATGGAGCATCATACTCTTTGTTCTCTAATTTTTCAAAGTTAATATCTTTAAACCATGGGTGCGCTTTAATCTCTTCAACTCCTCCTTGATTACCTAATCTTTCTGAAGGATCTTTTTGTAAAAGTTTTGTGATTATATCTTTTACATGCTCACTCATATCAATTTTATGCCTGACTGGATCAGGAAACTTAATAGGAAATCTTTTAATTAGATCAAACATTGTACTCTGATTTTTATGATGAAAAGGAGGAAATCCCACTATGAGCTCATAAATAACAATTCCAACTGCCCACCAATCTACTGAATGATTATATTGTTCTTCACTAACTATTTCTGGTGCAAGATATTCGGGCACTCCTCAAAATTTGCTGGCTAAATCTTCATCTGCAATATCCTTTGTCAGTTCAAAATTACTCAGTTTCAGATAGCCATCCTCGCATAGCATATTATTTTCAAGACATCAGATTCGGTACATTATATTTTTAGAGTGCAAGTACCCTATTGCTGAAACAATTTGGGCAGCATAAAACTTTGTTGTTTCTTCAGACAACCTCTTCTGTTTACAATTATAGGTATAGAAATCTCCACTTTTGATAAATTCCATAAATAAGTAATATTTTGATTCGTTTTCTAGAATATAGGGTGTTTGGACCAAGAAGGGGTGACCACTCTTGGATAGCTTCTTTTTTAATAATTCAATACTTTCTTGTTTACCATCGTTTACAACATCTTCTTTGTTGAGAATTTTCAATGCATATAATTCCTTGGTGTCTAGCTTGACAGCTAGATGCATTTTAGGAAATAGTGTCTCTTTATTTACATCTGAAATCTTGCAAGCTAATTTCTTCTTTAGAAATATCTAAAGCACCGAGTAAATCATTCGCACTTTTAGTATCTTTAGTTTCTTCTACTAAGTTTGTAACTGGCTCTTTTTGCTCCTCCTCCTCAAGTTCTATTGGAATATCTTCTTCCTCAAGCAGATAAGAATGATCAGGAGTTTTATTAATTTCTTTCTTGATGTCAGCCTTCACAGTTTGATATTTCTCCAGCGTATCTTCCGGGACTCCAAAGATTGGCACATTAGCTTTCTTAATAGCTACATAACTTTCTTTGATAGCTTTGAATATTTTGTCTCTTGTAGCAGCATCCTCTCACTTAAATCTATAGTCTGGTTCAGAGCTGAAGTGAACCAGGAATTCTATGTTAGTTTCACCGATATTCTTGGTCAATCCAGAAATATCACTGATTTCAAAAGTTTTCTTGATTTTGTCTTTTTCAAGTATACTCACTCTCTCTTTCGTAATACTTATAATTCTGTTCTGTATCTTCCCATAATCATTAACCAGACCTATCTTCACCGAACACAGTTCAATCTGACACTCTTCAACTTCCTTAATACCACCCTCTTGTTTTATCTCTTCCATTACTAATAATTATTTATAGGTCCAAGCTATAAGCTGGCAGGGGTTTTGGGGTTTTGGGGTTTTGGGGTTTTGGGGTTTTGGGGTTTTGGGG